CATCTAATATCATCCATCCATCTAATATCATCCATCCATCTAATATCCATCCTGCCGTCCATCCATCCGTCATCTATCTAATATCATTCATCCATTATTTTTTTAATTTAAATAAAATTGATATTCTAATATCATCCATCTATCTGTACATTATCATCCTTCTGTCCATCCATCCATCTGTTCATCCATCCATCATCCATCTATCTAATATTATCATCCATCCATCCACCTGTCCATCTTTCCATCCATCCATCCATCTAATATCATCATCCATCAGTCTGTCCGTCCATCCATCTGTCATCCATCATCTATCCATCCAATATCATCATCCATCCATCATCCATCCATCTATCTAATATCATCATCCATCCATCCATCCTAGTTGGTAGCAGTTGCTGAAAAGCTTGTTGTTGAGGAGAGTTGCAGAGAAGAACTCTCTTGAGAGAGCAGTCTCATGATGGAAGAAGTTGTCCGAAGCTGGCAGAAGTGGGTCCTGGTGGAGAGTTGCCTCTGAGCCAGCCCAGAAGTCTGTGGGGACTCTGATCCAATCAGCTGAGAAATGAAAAGTCCACGAAACGCTCAAACACCCCACGAGTGATGAGAAACAACCGTCTGTGGGAAGAGACGTGGTCCCCGAAGGAAAACCTCCCTTTTCGGGTGACAAATGTCTTCCTTCTGATGAAGGAGTGCCAACTTGAGGTTTTTTTTTTTTTTACATAATTAGTTCACAATTCTGAGATGAAGCTTACCTAAATTTTAACGTTAGAGCTAAAACCTTAGTCCAAATTGAATACACCTCTTCTCAAAGTCTTAAGCCATTTTATATTTTTACATCATTCACCTTTTGAAATAACACTGTTGCTATTCATACATATTTCACAGTGTTTCCCCTACCATTATACAGGCGGGGTGCCCCACCCCGTCAACAGAACTGAGCACCCCGCCTACCAAACTGGACTTGCCTCTCCCACCCCCACCCGGCACTGACATATCACCAAGGTAGTGGCGCAAAATACAGGCTCTCTAGCTAAAAAACCCAAGGCAGCACTCACATTGCCTCTTCCCTCGTTGAACGCCCCCGCTCAAAAACTGTTGGTACAAGCTGCACTCAGACATGTCTCCGTCCCCCCCACCCATCAGCAAAAACCATGGAAGAGATGAGCACCTCGCCATGGCAAGCTAACTAGGGGAAACACTGTTTCATATTTGCCATAAGTACATATTGTCATTATTCACAAGTTGTGGTTGTTTCTCGTTTGTCTCTGTGTGTCCCTGTGCTGGACTGGAGACCTGTCCAAGGTGTCCCCCGCCTCTCACATAGTGACTGCTGGACATGTGCATCAGTGACCCTCGCGACCCAAAAAGGAAGAAGCGGATAATGGATGGATGGATGGATTCTAGATGTAAATTAAAAACGCATACGGGGAATCTTTTTATTTTGAATGTATCAGAAATACAGCTGCTGCCAACCAGTGCTGCACCAAGGGGGCCTGCAGTAGCTCACTGGTCAGTGCTGGGGCCCCACAATCCTGAGGTTGTGAGTTCAATCCCAGGTTGCGTCAGAAATGGCATCTGGTGTAAAACAAATTGCCAAATCTTTCATGCGAGTTTGTTCACTGTGGCTCCCCCTGAATCAGAGAGTAGCCAAAAGAAACTTACTAAACAGTGCCGCTCCAAAGTCTGAAGGTAGTAAATATTTTATCATCATTATATTCAATTTTAAAACGGTCCTAAGCAATAGTTCTCAAGACTTTCTGCAGGACTGTCAAAGTTTTTCCTTTGAACGATTTATTATAGGAAAATAATATTGAATGTATCAGGGAGCAGATATAAAAATTTAACTGTAAATTCCTTTCAAAAGATGTTCACTGGAACGCCATGGTAACTCCAGACTTCCTGATTAGAAAGCAACAGCACTGACCATTGCACCACCATGTATTAATTATGTAGTTTCACCCCCCCAGCTCTTCAACTTCATCCCGTCCAGCCAAGCTAAGTTCGTGCCCTCTGGTTTGTCTGTAAGCGGCCTGCTGGAGTTCACTCCAGACGCTGAGGAGGAGGTCAGAGAGCACATCCAGGTTCACATCGACGATGAGACGCTGCAAATCCCAGTGCTTGGGTGAGCAGTTCTGGACATTTAGAAACATTTTGACGCCATCTTGAGCTGCGCTTCAGTCCTTTATAGCTGCACCTCGTGGTACTTCTGCAGATCTCCCAGAGTTTGCTCCCTTATAACGGACTCCTTGCTCGACTTTGGTTGCGTTGTCGCCAGCAGTCAAGCGATCAGCAAACTCCACCCTATAACCAATGAAGGATCGGCACCGGGTGAGTCGTGTATGAAGGTATATTAGTATCAAAAGTAGTTACACAAGCATACAGTAAGATTTGTAAACAGTAAGATCCACAAGCATACCACAAGTTGTACGAATGCGTACAAGATTCATAAATGCACAAGTTTTTTCCAAATGTTCACTTTTCAAATTGCACAAGTAGGAATAAATATTCTGCATGGTCCTCAGTCAGAAAAGGGTGGATTGCTCTCTTCAGGTTGAGGGTGAGGTTCTACCTCAAAAGGAGGAGTTCAAGTATCACGGGGTTTTGTTTATGAGTGAGGGAAGAATGGAGTGTGAGATTGACAGATGAATTGGTGCAGTATTACGGACTCTGTGCCAGTCCGTTGTGGTGAAGAGGGAGCTGAACTGTAAGGTTCCTACCCTCACCTATGGTCACAAGCTCTGGGTAGTGACCGAAAGAATGAGATCGCAGATACAGGCAGTTGAAATGAGTTCCGTCCACAGGGTAGCTGGACTCTCCCTTAGAGATAGTTTGAGAAGTTCTATTACTCTTGAGAGACTAGAACCGCTGCTCCTCCACATCCGGAGCCAGTTGAGGTGGTTCAGGCATCTGGTAAGGAAGCTCCCAGGTGAACTTCCCAAGGAGGTTCTTCGGGCATGTCCGACAGGGAGGTGACCCAGAGGAAGACCATGGACATGCTGGAGAGACTACGTCTCTCGTTTGGGCTGAGAACACCTTGGGGGTCCTCCCAGAAGACCTGGAAGAGGTGGTTGTGTAAAGAGATGTCTGGGTCTCCTTGCTCAAGCTGCTGCCCTTGTGACCCTACTTCGGAATAAGTGGAAGATAATTGTATTTTATTCAGGCATCTATTCACTACAGACTCATGTTCTGGCTGCTGTTGTTACACCGTATTGTTTTACATTATTAGTATTTTGCGTATATCTTAGATCTTTAATCACAATTCCTCAGTTTGGAGTCGCCATGAGATGTACTAGTGAGACAGTTAAAGGCAGATGCGGAAGTTAAAGAGCTCAGCCTGACCCAAAACAATGCTGAAATCTGAATATGGCTCTGGCCTTGGAAGGCTGACTTTTTCAATTTCTCCTTGGATGTTATGGAAACACGACACTCTGATCCCCTCCTCACCTCTCCCCTCCCCAAGGATGTGGAACAGTGTCAGAGCTCAGCCGAGCTGGCTGATAAACAAACACCTCTCATCAGGAATATGGCTCTGGGCTCTGGACTGTGCTGTGCTACGACTTCCTTTCAAACTCATGCCTTCGCCGGCCTTCCTCATTGCCTCCCCTAGTGCAGCAACCTAGGAAATGGCGAAGGCACCAAAGGGCTGCATCGCACAGCTGGTGTCCATGTTGGGACCCTCACCCCCTACCTACTCCACACGCATATACTGTATGTATTATGTCTATTTATGTGCTTTTTATGTTGCGCTAAGGTCATTTTTTTGCAACTCTGATACTATGTTCCGTAGTACACAGTGTGAGATTTGCTGTTTTTACACCTACCCTCCCCCTCGTGTTTTTTTGTCCTTATCTGAAAATAATGCTGCGCCTCCTGAGATGGCGGCCTCAGTCACCTCCGTCTCCCCATGTCAGTTGTTGTTTATGTTGTTCGGGCTGTACTGAAAATGCAATTTCCTTGTGCTTCGGTGCAATGTCAACAAAGCTGATTCTGAGTCTGATTTTAGCGTACCGTTTGGCAGTGGTTTAGCGTATTTCTTGGTGTATATCTTAGATCCTTATATACTGTTTCTTTTTATACTTTGTAGTTTTGCTATTGTTGGGTGTAACTGGCACCACTGAGCACATAATTTCATTCCACCTCATGTACCACATGTGATGCGAATGACAGTAAAATTGAACTTGAACTTGAAGATGGTGGATGGATCCAACATTTTTCAGTCAGTTCATCTGGACAGTTTCTTTTTTTTTTTTTTTTTTGTGCTGAAACGTTTCGCCTTCGGTCTGGAAGGCTTCATCAGTCAAGGAAACACAACAAAACTGATTCTTCCCCCAACAGCTTACTCCAAAGTGGAACAAACCAGTTCTGCCTGTGATAAGATGGTCTCTTTGGTACGCCCCCTCCTCCATTGCCGGCCCTCTTCCTTGTTGACAGTCTTGTGAAACTGGTTGAAAACAACAAAGTCCATGCTCAATAATCCAGGTATACAATCCAACATTTCTCAGTCAGTTCTGTGGATAGTGGATGTTTTAATTAAGGGGTTATGAGCTACTGTGCCAATTTAGAAATGTGTCTTTTCCCAATAACTCAGTAAATATGGTAATGCTCAGACGTCCCAGGTCGTCACCAGCCTTGAACGCAGCATTATCTTTGTGACTCTAGATCGGTAAGAAAGTGTTAAAAGTCACATTCACATGCAAGCTGATCCGTGCGCAGCAGGTGATTTGTGCCTTTTGTATGCCCAGAATGTTCCTACTTGTGCAATTTGAAATGTGTCCATTTGAAAAAGCATTTGTGAATCTTGCGGTATGCTTATACAAATCTTGTACGCATGTGTGACTACTTTTGCGACTTATTTATCTTCATAGTCGAGCCGTCTAAGATGTAAAACTGAGAGATGGGTTGAGGATAAAACTGTAATCTTTTTTTTTTTTTTAACAACGCCATTCTGTCTGTGTAAACGTGTTTGCTGTCATAAAGGTGCGTTCCAATTTGAGTACAGCGGTGGAGACTCCTCACTCAGCGTTTCTCCTTCCTATGGAGTCGTAGCTGCTGGATCCACCCAGTGGCTAAAAGTGGAACTGCACACAGACCGGCCCAGGCAGATCCACGACGAAGCGCTGTAAGTAGAACTTGAAATGACATGCATGTGTTAAAGGAATCATTTCCTAATAAAATATACGTTATTGACTTAAAAGCAGTGAACTGATGTACCTGTAAAGTTGGTGTTTTAAGCGATTAATAGCAGACAAGTTCCATCTTCTTATGTTGCATTTAAAACTTGACAGATTTAATCAATTTTATGGTTTTTTTTCTGTTTCTCGGAGGGTGAGGCTCCAGAATCGCTCAGCTGTAGTTCTCAGGATCAGGGCACTGGTGTTGGCGCAGCACCTTGAGGTCGTTGACCTGAAGGTAGACCCAGTTCCTAACTAACTGATGTTAACAACATCTCGTCAGGTGGATGATTTTTGCACTTCTCAATCACTGTCCAGGGGTCTCCACTTACCTGTCTGTTGTTTGGACCAACCTATTTTGGAACTTCCCGTGAGAAGAAAGTGGTTGTGAGGAACAACGCACCCCAGGCGTGTGACTGGGTCTGCGTGTTGCAGGAGAATGCTCCTGGGACCGAGATGGTGCGTGGTTTACGTCATCTGTGTGGCTTTGAGTGTATAAAGGGTCATGCAGAGCCAAACCAGACTTGGAGTGTTCTGATTGCGCAGGGAACAGACCTCAGGAGGAGCACAGATGCTTCCCTGGTGGAGGGAACAAAGAAGTGCAGCTCAGCCGACCTCCAGTCTCCAGTTTTGGTCTGCGTGCCTTCACACGGTCGAATGGGTCCGTACGACAAAACCACCATGACGGTTCGCTTCAGTCCCGTCTGTAAGAGGTACTCAGAATGTGTCTGAAAACTCTGAAGGTGCATCTTACAACCGCTGGTCAATAAAGTCCTAAAATTGACACTTTTACTGTTAGTTATTAAATTACATGCTTTTTTTTTATAGAAGATTTGTTTACTCTAATAATCCATTGCATAATTTGTGAATGATTGAGTTTGTTGTTAAAAGTAAAATGAGCAGAGATGAAAATAATAATGTTACTCCTGGTCAGGGAATCAAACCCGCGACAGGCGGGGATACTTGCCACTATACAAATTACATGTGCGCTCTACATATATTAAGTTTTAAAGCTTCGCATTCCTTTGCAAAACCGCCGTTTGTTGTCTGTTCGACAGGAGGACGCAGAAAAACTCAAGCAGCCGGCAGGACTATTGCCTTTTCCTTCTGTTTGACATCGTGGACAGCAAACATGGGTTTACTCACCAGAATGGTACTCACCCAAACACCATTTTAAACCAAGTAACACAAACTGGCTCAGCTGGGACGTAGCTGTTGAAAGTTTGGGAATTTTTGGTCAAAGGTTATGGATGTTTTTATTACTATGGCTGAGATTGTTAACTCTGCCCATGAACCACATGTTTGGGTTAGTAGAGAGCTGAGTGAGGCTGCAGCAGGAAGCTGGCTCCAAGGACACCTTCGAGTCTTTGAGCTCGGCTGAACTGATAAGGATATAAAAGCAAGCTGAGAAGGCTGCTCGGGGCAGATTCTCATGACTGGTCTTCATGTGTGTACTTCCTGTATATTTATCAGTATTTTCCTTCGATAACTTGCCATGGCAGGGCGCTCATCTCGTCCGTGATTTTTGTCGGGGGTGGGGTGGGGGGGGGGGGGGCTGGAACGGAGACTCGTCCTAAGCTGCGCAGTGCCGTGTTTAAACCAACAGTTTTGGGGGACACAGAGACAGTCACGCGCTGTTTGCACTGACAGTTTTAGAGCAGGGTGTGTGAGAGGAGAGAAACAGAAACATATCTCAGCCGCATGCTTCTGAACTGACAGGTTTTTTTTTTTTTTTGGTGGGGGGGGGGGGGGGGGGGTGAGACAGACGCACATCTGAGCCGTGCGCTGTTTGTACCGACAGTTTTCGAGTGGCGGGGGTGCGTTCAGCGTGAGGGTTCAGCATGAAGGAAGAGGCTGCCTTTAGCTTTTTAGCTAGTGCACCTGCATTGCGAGCCGCTAGTTTAGCGTTACGTCAGTGCCGACAGGTGGTTGGGGTTCGGTAGACGGGGCGCTCTGTTCTGTTGACGGGGCGGGGCGCTCCGCTTGTATAATGGTAGGGGAAACACTGTTTATGAAACCTGTCCTGAAAATCTGACCTTGCAAAAAAAATACCGGTTAAAAATCTTCTGTCGTCGAGTGTGGTTCTTTTTGAGTAAGTAAGATAAGTGAGTGTTTTTCTCCAACGCTGAATCATTCAGTTTAGCCTTATTAATGAGCTTCAAGGCCATGAGAACTGGGGGTGCTACAGCACCTTGGCCCAGTGCTTCCTCTAGATAACTTGCCATGGCAGAGCACTCATCTCGTCCGTGATTTTTGTCAATTGGGATGGGGGCATGGAGACATATCTGAATTGTATTGCGCACAACTAGCTTAGCGCTACGTCAATGCTGATGGGAGTGTGCGCAGTTTGGTTCGGTAGGCGGGGCGCTCGGTTCTGTTGACAGGGCGGAATGCCCTGCTTGTATAACGGTAGGGGAAACACTGCTGACCACTCTGGCCAAGGACCAGTTCCTGGATCATTTGGTACTGGGTCACACCAAAAAATACCTTTTTTTTTAAAAAGTACTATGTCAGTATTTCCATCAAAAGTAAGCTGCAGGGTTTTTTTTTTTTAATGACCTCTTCTGTTCAGGCCTCTTTCCTGTTGGCTCAGTCACGGTTATTTTTTGAAAACTAGCAAACTTACAAGCTAACAAGTAAAAAAAAAAAAAAAAAAAAAGAACAACTTTGCTGGGTATCTTTTTGTTTTCCAGTCTTCGGGAACGTTATCTCGAGTAGTAGAACCACGTTGTGATGCAGAAAAGTTTTAAGACTGCTGATCTCAGCTAACAAGAACCGAGATCAAAAGAAATGTTTAAGCTGCTGTCAGTGGCTTATTATGGTCACCATGGTAACCACACATCTGTGTCTTTAAGACCGCGCTCCTAAAAAGACAGGCAGACAAAAAGGCAAACTATAAAGTGAGCCTCAAACAAATAGTCTTTGTGTGAAAACTGTTCTATGGAAACTTCTATTGGTCAATTGTCAGTGAGTTTACAGTGTTTGATGTAGAGGGTACGATGAGTCAAAAAGACTTTTCACTTCCTGTTTGGAAGATAAAATTCAGATCTTACTGTATTTTTTGCTGTATAAGTTGCACCTTTTTGCATAAATTTGTAAGTCCTGCAGTTTATACACCAAAGCGACTAATATAATTTTTTTTCCCATATTTATATTATAACCCAATTTTTGGCTGAGATCTGACGATTTCATTCATTCTGACATGAAAAATATTGATCACTACCATTTTCAGCCACTAGAGGACCCTCGAGTAATATGGCAAGCCAAGTGTCTCATTAATAGGTAAAAGTGGCTATTAATGAGACACTTGGCTTGCCATACTAAGCCACCTTCGTCTTGCTCTGGAACTCCTGGCGCAAACGTCAAATCAGCTGCATTTCATCGCGCCGCCCAGGCGAAACGCAGCCGATTTGACCATTAAAGTGCATTTATTAAGTAAAAGTTAAATGAGACGCACCTTTACTATAATGTCGAGCCAACAAATAATTGTTTTTAAGTGTTAGTCTTGTTCAATTCTTGTTAAGTCCTCCTGTGCACGCTCTCGCGGCCGCCATTTGGCAGCCCATCGATTTTTGGCACAACACCAGCCCACATTTCCAGGTTGTCAGCGGTGACGCATAATAGATGCGACATACACAGCAAAGCGACTTATTTGCTTTTTCTCACTTTATTAGACATATTTGGACTGATGCGACGTGTACGACGGAAAGTACGGTGAATACAATGGAAGTCAGTGAGAGTTTGGATGTGCGCACGTTGCACTCTGGGGGATTGGAGATAAAACTACAAGCCCCACAAGTCAACAGAATAGTAATGTGTGCTTCTATGTTCATGCATTGACCCCCCCCCACCCTCAAACTTCAGTCCATCGTGTTGATGTTCCTCTCGTCAGCTAACAGCAGTGTGGAGGTGGCAGTGACGGGCTCCGGTGTCCCCGTCTCCCTGGTACCCGCTCCCTCTCACAGATTCGACTTCCTGAGCTGTGCGGTTGGACAAAGCTTGGATCTCCTTTGCGTACTCCAGAATCTCTGCCCTCAGCTTCCCGTGAGCTTCCGCTTTGGCAAAGTTGCGCACTTCGCAGCTAAACCTTCCACGGGCACCATCAGCCCCGGGCAGCGCCAGGTGAGACCAGCTCCAGTTGGGTTTCGTTTGTTTAAATGAAGCTGCATAAATGTATTCTCTGCGATGTGTTCACCAGGATGTAGTTTTGACCTTCAGCGCACGCCAACAAGGGAGTTTCCACGTCCATCTGCAGGTAGACGTCCTGGGTCCGGTCGCATCTCAGAAAAATGCTACACAGCTTGAGGTGTCCTGCTTCCACACAATCACTCTGCACTTATCTGCCAGCTGCCACAACGTGACATCACCCCCCCTGCCTGGTAGGTGATAGAAACTAAAGGTACCTCGGCAGCGTTTAGCAGATATGTAACAAAAGGCACGCTGCAGATACACAATTCTTACATACTTTTATGATGTAGCTAATATAAAGTTTGTTTCACTGCAGGTCTAAAGAGTGCAGCTGGTTTACAGCCTCACCATCAGTGCAGTGGACGGTCTCAATGCAGGGGACCGACACCTACTGCCCCGCTCGGTTCTGACGAAACCCAGCTCCGCAAGAATCACAGAGGCAAACAAGGGAGTCCAAAGGGCAAGGAGTCTCTCGCCTGTCCTGATGACCGATGCAGCATCAGACCGGCATTCTCGGACCAGCAGTACAGGTAGAGCTCGTTAACGCACAAGGACACAAGTTTAAACTGGACTTTAGAACCTGGCATCCACATGTGCACGAGTCCGGGTCTCAGGAGGTTAAACGAAAGCAGTAAAAGGTTGTAAACAGATCTAAAGATCTGAAGGATGTAAAATGAGCTCAATTCATTTTCTATGAGACAAAAAGTGGCAGAAAAGGCTAAAATATTTACAAAAGCTAATGATGCACCAGTACCAAAAGTCATAGCACCCTTCTGCTGAACGAGCCGAACGTTTTGATTTAATAGTTTGAAAACTGCGGGATGAGAAAAATGCAGAGAAACGTACAGAAGAAAAATGGATCTGCTTCTTAAACATTCACACTATTCATTTACATATGTATGTGTTTACAGGCACAAAGTAACAACCAAACAAAAAAAACCCCACATTGTAGTTCATTAGATATTTTACGAGCCTGTAGATGTTGTCATACACTCTTACTTTCTATGGGACGCTTCAAGACGCAATCTAGGTTTCAACAAAACTCCTGAAAATCGTGAAAAAGTATCAACAACTCAAAGCTCGTAAGACGGAATGAAGCTCACGCAGAGTTTCTCACGTTCTCGTATACTTTCTCAACGCTTAGGACGATCTTTACCGACGTAGCTCGCGATCGATACGCGGACGAGGTGTACGCTTTCACCGAGGAAGAGGAAGAGCAGAGACGACGGCATCGCCAGATCTACGTGGACTTCGTCAACCAGCTCAGACGAACACGGCTCCAGAGGAGGGACAGGTTGGCTGGTTTTAGATCGCACACCATCCAGGAACACCTTTTAACGCTCGCGTTGGGTCAACGTAGCATGTTTCAGCGTACTAAAACGTATTGATTTGTTTTAGACAACAAGAGGAGGCGGAAGACGATGTGGACATTGGAATTGTTCCGTCTCAAGGTCTTGTTCCACCCACGGTCCACATCAGCGACCTGGAGATCAGTGAGAACTCCCCGTCTACCAGCCATAGAAGCAAGAATCAAGTGAGAGCAAAGGTGGTCCAGAGAGGCCGTACTTGTTAGTCCTGAAGGTGTTTTGTGTTACTGAATATGATCTTTCTCAGGTTGTCGACGTAGTGAAAGCAGTTCCCTCCACCAGCCAGGAGGTGGCAGACTGTCACAGGACTCTGACCGCTTTGGAGCTCTACCAAGTCATCATAAGTAGGACTTTCATGTTTCAAAACCGTTTCTTCTTATCGTCGAAATAATCAAAAATACAAACGCCAACAAGTTCTAGCTCCATTTTATGGAACGTGGTCGTCTCTGTTGAGTACAAACATCAAAAGCACAAACATTTTATCTTTTAAAATCCCCAGAAATACTTCTAAAACAGTAAACACACAAGGGCATAACGACAACATAAAGAGGCTGAACTCTTTACTGGTTTCCATTGATGGTTACTGCTTTGATCTCTTTAACTATTATAGTAAAAAATACACCAGTAGGAATTATTTTTATGTGAATGGTTATCAAGCAACTACTGTACATCATTTTTGAGCTTAACTTATTTCTGCTAATTTCACCTTGTTATGCTCCTTTCTGTTCATCTTTTCAAGTTTCAGCTTTTTCTGCTATTTCAGCTACTATTTAGCTGTTTTTAATGCTAATTTTAGCGTTTTCAGCAAATTCCACATTTTTTGCACTCGTCTCAACCTTTTTCAGCTTAATTCAGCAAAAATGTGCTCTCTCCTCTTCCTTCTGGTAACTTAAGCTTCTTTCTACTTTTCAGCTGTTTTTTGTTGTTGTTGTTGTTGCTAATTTCAGCTTTTTTCAGATAATTTTCACTTTTTTGTGCTCATTTCTGCTTCTTTCAACCTAATTGGGCAAAAATGTTCTTTCTCTTGTCTTCTGCTAATTTAAGCTTGTTCTACCTCTTCAGCTACCTTTTTTAGCAGTTTTTAGCTAATTTTGGCTGTTTTCAGATGAACTGAAGTTTTTCGTGGTAATTTCTGCTAGTTTCTGCATTCGGGTCCAAAAAAAATGACCCGACTCAACCCCAGCCTGTAGCTATCATTTCCGAACCCCAGCCGATCCAACAAATTAACAGTAATTACAGGTCCGAACCTGAACCCCCCCCCCCCCCCCCCCTCAACTTTTTTATTTATTTAAGCTTTGACTGCTGGTCAGCGGACGTGTGCGGCTGAATAAAAGGGGCAGAAGATCGGAGCTGAGGAGCCCTCAAAGCACATTAAATGCTCCCCCTGCTTCTGCCTGCATTCTGCATTATTCAAACACAGACCTTGCTCTGTCAGATATTTTGTGATCTCACCTGTTTGGGTCATCGGCCACGCACGTCTGCTGAATTCAGCAGCTGAATGAACATCCACTGGGGCTGATGGATCGCTGGCTGTAGTCCACCTGAAGCTTAACTGAACTTTTTACCTCTTTCAAGGCCAGTCAGCGCGCAGTCAAATGGCCGTGTGCGGCTGGTGAATTATATGGCAAGCCATGTTGCCATATAGTTTGATCATCAACTGCACGCATCCGCTGACACAATCAAAAGCCTGACACCAACCCGGCCCGCACATTATTATGGACCGGCCCGGTCCAAGTCCAGGTCGGGCGGGGCCTGGTTCAGGTTAGAAATGACAGCTCTAGTTTCAGCCTAATTAACTTCGTTATGCTAATTTTAGCTTGTTGTGCTCCTTTCTGCTTTTTTTCTGTTCCTTTCCGCTTCTTCTGCTATTTCAGCTGCAATTTAGCTGTTTTTACGCTAATTTTAGATCTTTGCACATTATTTAGCTCATTTCAGATCTTTCCACTTCTGATAGTTTAAGCGTCTTTTTAACTTTTCAGCTATTTTTTGCTCATTTCTGCTTATTTAAACCTAATTCAGCAAACGTGTTCTTTCTGCTTTCTTCTACTAAGTTAGACTTGTTGTTCCATTTCAGCTACATTTCAGCCTGTTTTAGCTGATTTCAGCTGTTTTTCAGCAAGTTCTTTTGCAATAAGCATTCACACTGGATTTTCAAAGGAAATACAATTTGTGTAGTTACATTTAATTACATTTTGAGACCCCTAACTTGGAGTTCTGTGACCCAAAGAGGGATCCCGACCCCAACTTTAAGAACTTAAAAAAAAAAAAACCTATCTCTGTGCATTTGGTGGGATTACTGTTCTTCTGCTCTTCATTCTGAAACGTTAAATAATAAAATAAACACAAATTAAATCTAAGGTTTTCATTACTTTGTGCTTACTGCTTATAATAGTTCAGCCTGTTGATGAAGTCGTTTAATATTTTTATAAACTGCGTTTATAACAAGATGTAGTATCCCGTTTGTTATTTACTGTTCTGAAAAGTCTGGACCAGGTGAAATTCAAGGGAGCGCAGATTTTAGTGTTTAGTTGCACAACATTAATGTTTGAGATTTTATTCTACCCAGAACAATTACTCTCGTTCTTTCCCAAACAGGTCCCTCGTTCGTGGACTTTGGCAGCGTGTGCGTGGAGTCGGTGTGCGTTCAAACGCTGCAGCTCATTAACCGTCTGCCGGCGTGCGTCTGGGTGCAGCTGGAGGTGGACTGCCCCGAGCTGCAGAGTTCCTCACCGCTCTCATATGTTCTGCCTCCTCGCACTCACACCAGCTTCCCCCTGACGTTTGAGAGCACCCGGCTGGGTCCCTTCAGCAGGTTAGGACAGAAAGTCCACCCTCTTTCGGTTCTGGGGCTTTACGTATCAGGGTTTAATAGCAATCATCTGGTCTTTACTATCAACTTGAACGGCGGACAAAACATTTCTGCCTCCTTTTGATGTTTTGAAGGTGACACCGTAAAATCCAGAGTCCCGCCTTCTTCCTCCACAATCATTGGTGTCCTACAGTGTTTCCCCTACCATTACTGGTGCCCCGCCCCTTCAATGGAACCGAGCGCCCTGTCTACCAAACTCCCCTCGTTGACAGCTGTCGGTATTGATCTAGTTCAGGGCCCAATACAAACGCGCTAGCAAAAATGCTACTGTCATACTTCTCTGCTCCGCTACCCCGCCCCCCCATCGTCAATAAAAACTGGGAGCAACGTATCGTTAAGCTAGCAAGGCGAGCACACAGACACCCCCTCGTAAATAAAAAAAAACATATATATATATATATATATACCACAAGTACCCCGTCAACGGAGCTGATCTAGGGGAACCACTGAACTACCGTAATTTCCGAACTATAAGCAGCTCCTTTTTTTCACACGCTTTGAACACCGCGGGCGATATATACAAGGCTGCGGCTAATTTATGGTTTTTATTTTTTTGACGTGCTAACGAGCTTCATGCCGCCAAAACATTTAACCTCGTCATACCCAGGCGCTCACATAGCTGTCCAATACATGTCTGTCTCAGGGGTGCGACCTTGTGACGCAATGAGACTACCTGTATAAATAAAGGTTTAAAAAAATCTGACCATTGAAATTACTGAACAGGTCACGGTGGACCAATGAAATGGGGAGGGGAGGAGAGAACGGGGAGGGGGACGAGCTTGCGCAGGAGGAAGATGTAAAAAAGTTAAGTCTGGTCCTCTGGACATTCCAAAAAACAAAACAAAGAAAAAAAATGTAGAAATGTTTCGTCTTTCATCTGAAAGACTTCATTATCGTATTTTTCAGCTTATAAGTCACAATTTTTTTGCATCATTTACATACCCTGTGACTTATAGGCTGAAGCAATGTATTTATGGATTTTTTTTCCCATATTTATAAACCAATTTTTGGCTGAGATATGACTATTTTCATTCATTCTGACTGGGAAAAAAAAAAGAACAGTACCATTTTCAGCCACTAGATGGCAGCAGAGTGGTTGTAGCATGTAATAGGTAAACGTGGCTGTAATGACAAATTCAGAAAAGTTCCAGACAAAAACAGCTGGACTTTATTTATTATACAGGTCTCTCTTGTACATGAGTCCTCGAGGATGAATACTTTACTTTTTACTTTATTATTTTTGTCTTAAACTTTTTTGAATTTACCATGTCCTGGATAACTGAGAATCTTCACCAGCTATTAACGACACAATCGGCTTTAGTTAGCCCCCCCCACGTTCTGCTCGCTGCTTATAGCAACCGTCAAACCAGCTGCACCACCCCAACGAAATTCAGCTAGTTTGACTATTAAAGTGCACTTACTAAGTTAAAGTTCAACCGAGACACACATTTGCTGTAATTTCGAGCAAACAAATAATTGTTTTAGGTGCTTTTCTTGTTAAATTTCGAAGAAACGAGCAGCGTTCCTCCTTCCTTTTTTTTCCTACCTCTGTGTGCTCCCAAGGCACGAGGCAGCGAATACTTTTGAAATACAGCTGTTAAACAGACCGTTAACGCCCTTTTATTAAGCAAAAGTTAAACTGAGACACCTTTACTATAATTTCCAGCAAACAAATAATTGTTTTTAAGTGTTAATCTTGTTAAAGTCCTCCTGTGAATGCTCCCGCGCCCGCCATTTGGCAACCCATCAATTTTTGGCACAACACCGGCCCACATTTCCAGGTTGTCAGCGGTGACGCATAATATAGGGTGGAGCGACGGGTACAGCGGAAAATACGGTATGTTTTTTTTGACTGATGCGACTTATACTCTGGAAAACACAGTAAATAGAAAAGTTTGCCCATCATGCAGTGCGGTATATTTATCAAATAGCATATCTGCGGAAACACCTCCCAGTTGTCAGCACGGTGGTGGAGGACTGGTGATCTGGGCACCTTGCGGTCAAACGTGAGATCTTCTGTATAATATCTGGTCATGAAGCAACAGAACAATGATCCCAAACACAGCAGCTACTCTACAACAGAGTGGCTCAGTAAAATCAAATATAATATAATCAACGTGCTGTAACGGCGCTGTCAAAGTCCAGAACTTCACCCTGATTGAAATGCAGTGGTGGGATCAGAGAGCTGAACAGAAAGAAACATCTGCACACCCTGAAGAACTGAAGCAACACTGGAAAGAAGAGTGGGCCAAAATTACTCCACAACCACATGAAACCCTGTAAAAGTTCTGCTTAGATTTACTGCTTAAAGGAGGTTCTTGAAGTTACTGGATCATGGATGGATCCAGTTTTTTCCACACAGTTTTATCACTTTGACCTCATTTGTTTTATTTATTTTTTTAATTAAATAATGACACAGTGTAACACTTGAGGTTAAATCCAAATGTCATAAAAATGGAGGTAGACTTTTCTTTGTCCATATCTGTATAAGATACAAGTTTATACGTATTTCTTTCCCCAGCTCCTTGTCCTACAGTGTGAACCAGCAGCATCCTGGTCAGGTACTGGTCCGGGCACAGGTCACTCCCATGGCTCTGGAGATGTCCACAGAGCTGCTGGTGTTCCGGCCCACTCCCAACATGCTGGCTGCGTCAGGATACCGGAGCTCAGTGAGCCTTCGAAACCACTGCAACTGTGCAGTGGACTTCACCTGGCAACCAGCTGCCACCGAGAGGGAGTTCCCCTTCTCTGTTCGACCAGCCTCAGGTGCAAATGTGGCTCAATTTTAGCATTCATAGCAGGCCTCCCAACCCTGGTCCCTGAGGAACACCACCCCGCATGTTTCAGTTTTTTCCTGCTCCAACATGCCAGATTCAGTGATTTAATTACTTCCTCAAGTTCTGCCGAAGCGCCTGTTAATCACCCATTCATTCAAATCAGGCACGTCAAAGCAGGGAATCAAGTAAAACATGCAGGACGGTGTTCCTCAAGGACTAGGGTTGGGACCACTGCATTAGTGGACCTGGCCTGGAATTTCTTGCTCTCAATAACATCCCAACCTCTTTGTGTGAATGCTTAACAAGCATTCAAACTATTGGGATTCGTTTTTCTTCCACATGTTGTTTAACGCAACTCGTTCTGCAATTGTAGTGCTGTTAAATCAAAACGTTCAGCTCATTAAGGTCATTCCTGCTATGTCTTGGTATATCTGCAGATTTTATTTTTTTAAACGTAGCCTTTTTTTGGCCGTGTTATTTATTTAGGGTTTTGTTTACATTGAATTAATGGATCTCCACATCCTTCAAACCCTTTCTACTGTTTAAAATCATTCACCACTCATTTCAGCTTTTGTTTTTGCTTTTTCTTCATCTCTGCTAATTTCGGCTTCTTTCAGATCCTTTTAGTCTTTTTCTGCTAATTGTATCCCTTCTTTTTTTTTAATTTTTTGCACATTTCTACCTTTTGTGCTTCTTTCTAATAATTTCAATAATCCAACATCGTTCAGTCAGGTCATCTGGATGGTTTCTTTTTTTTTTTGTTCACGTTTCGTCCTTCATCCAAAGGACTTCATCAGTCCGAGGAACCACAGCAAACTCAGTCCCACAAGCAGCACACTAACATAGTTGACCAACCAGTTTGGTGGTGATAAGATGGTTTCTGGGGCCCGCCCTCTCCCCCGTTGACTCCTCTGAGGCAGCCGTAGCCAAAGTGGTTCAAAACACACTTTCCCATAGTGTAACCAGCAAACTGGTTGGTCCGTTATGTGAGTGCGCTACTTGTGGGACTGAGTTTGTTTGTGGCTCCTCGGACTGACGAAATCCTTTGGATGAAGGATGAAATGTCTCAACAAAAAAAGAAACCGTCCAGATGACCTGACTGAACCATGTTGGATTTTTTTTTTACCTGGATTACTGAGCATTTGAAATTTCAGTAATAATTTTTATGCTCTTTTCCTTGACTTTTCTGCTGATATCAGCTTTCTTTTAAAATCTACTTTCCAGTTAATTCCAGCTCTTTGTCAGCTGTTCAGATTCCATTAGCATCAACAGTTCAGAAACCTTTTCAGCTGGTTTCATCTTCAGCAGCTTTCAGCAGAAATCATTCATCGATAAGCGATGTCTATTATCTTTAATGGCAGTGACGTGTGCTTAATGAACAGATATGCAGGATTGGATTTGGGCTAATTCTGACGCCGCTTCGTCTCTACAGGGACAGTGGAGCCGTTCAAGGAGCTGGACTGTGAGGTGGTGTGGTTTCCCTCCTTCTCCTCCCCTTCAGAGGGAGACTTTGACCTCTGTGTCCTCGAAGGCAACACTCAGCGCTTGCACTGCGTTGCTAAGGTTCGTCCCTCTGAGCAGGACAAATTCTTTATATGATTTAGCTTTACATAGTTTGTATATTCTAAAAACTTTATTTTGTAGGAATAATTAGTTATACTGCCTGTACATGCAACGCTCAGTCATTCCTATGTTGAGGAGACACTGCCGGCTGCAGTGGCCAAGCATCCACCAATAAATTGTATCCCTAGACTGTAATTTGTTTAAAACTAATCTAGAAATTTGAGTCAACGAAGCATTGTAGATGAACAGATGCTGGGATATATTCATCATTTAACGCGGATTCCTCATTTTTCTGGACTGAATAAAACGTGCATTGAATTTAAGGAAATGCAAACGTGAGACGTCATTTAAATTTGACCCATCAAAATGAATGCGGTCATTTATTTACAGAATCAAATTTAACATCAAACATGTACATTAATTTGGCAAATTATGAAAATAACAACAAAGCAATCAATCAGAAAAATCATACGGCCATGATTTCTCCGTTGCTGCACCAACAGACATTTATAACTGTACAACTATGATCTTTTACCCACACGGATGTGAATAAGCACTTTACACAGACATTTCTAAATATCTGGGAGAATTTCTACTTCATAGGAAAGTTTAAAGATGGAAAGAAGTTTAGAGGGAGTAAAGGATGGTGTGTGAGGGAAATTAAGTGTTTTCCAGAACCGACACTCTCCATCAGAAGCCCAGCTCGCCTCGGTACGCTTGGTAGGAAACTTGACCCATTACCTCTCTGATGATAATCAGCAGATATGGTGTTCCGTTAACGCTACCGGTCCAGCGTCTCCTTAGAATGGCTGTTGCCCGTCAGAAGTAGTGGCGAGGCTCTGTTCGACACACATTCACCTCAGTGGAAAATGTTATAATCCCATGGAACTCGGAAGAGCTTTGCTGTCATGTCAGGAACTCCAACAGAACTCTTGAAGTCTGACAACTCTCCAACTCTGTAACTCCGTGAGTCTCTGAGTCTCTCTGTGAGTACCTGTGAGTCTCTCCGTGTCCCTGTCAGTCTGTGTAGACCAGGAAGTACTGACATTTTAAAGGCTCTTTCCCGGTTCACTTTTTGGGATTTTTCATTGGTCAGAAACGACCAGAAGGGGTGTGTTTTTGTGACGTAAGAGGTTAGAGACAGCGAGAATTGTTATGAGACAGTTCAGAAATGTTCTCACAGACCGAGAGGGTTCTGTTTTGGCGTGCCTTAAGAAACAGGTGCAAAACATCTCTATTTACGTCTGAGAGGATTCTAAAACATGACAGTTTTAACATAACAACTTGTTTTTCGTTTGACTGTAACCTTGTAAACGCACACACTTGCTCATTCAAAAGCAGAAATCAGAAAAATGCATAATTACTCTGCACAGCTTTTAACATGAGAATAAAATCATTACTCAGTTAATAAAATTGATTAGTTCACTGCAACATCTAAAATGGTTTGAACTAAGACACTTTGATTATCAACATTTGTAAGATAGTAATGATAATAAAAAGAGAGTGTTCTTTTCACTTGAATCTTCAAGAAAGAAAGTCTCAGGATGGGTGAACCTGTATTTATGGAGTCAAATACATGAAATGACAGCTTCTGTCCCACAAGGTTCTAAAGGTCAAGAGTTTTGACCTTAGACTGGGTTTCGACGTAGGCTTAGTCCACTACAGCATGAAGTGTCAGAAATAATGTGTTGGAACTATAAATAAAAGGTCCAGGTAGCTTGGACGCTGTCTGCTCTGTGGTACAGAGTCCTGATGAGTTTTATGACAAACAAAAAACAACTTTCGACGGAACACAGCGTTTTGTGCATGCATCCGAATACGAGTACGGCAAGCCAGCTGTAGTTAGCTTGTAGCTTTGCTACTTATCTCTCGAAGAAAGGACTTTAACACCACTTACACATAGTTCAACTAAAAAAAGTAACGATTAAATCTGACAACTCTGATTTTACATCAGACACAGCATTACTGCGGTTAGCCGGTAGAATACAGATCTCTGTCATAGGCTAAATGTCTATCGTTTCTACTGTGTACCGTATATATCGCACATTCCTAATATATAGAAGGGATACACCGATGTCCCCTAGCGCTGAGGGATTTTAACTGTCAATGTTTTTAGTGTTTTTCTGGACTGAACAGGGAATGCAAGTAAACCATAAAGTATTTGGTGCAAGATATTCAAATGGAGTCTCTACTGGATAAAAAGCAAGAAAGGAAACCAAAAAAAGCCCTGAATCAATCATTATATTTATCTTCAGAGACATGTTACTTGTGTTTTGAATCAAATGAAAGTAACTTTAGAGTTTTCTGCAAGGTATGGCATTTGGAGGGAGCATATACTCTACTTACCTATTGCAATGATTATTCACTGTCATATATAGAGGTAGTCCTCATTAGTTGTTCCATTCACTTTATTAAAAGCACAAGTCCAGTCAGCATGATGATACCATTACCATGCTTGACAGTTGGTATAGTGTTCTGCTCTAACAAACTTCTTGTTATTGTAGTTCGACCTTTGTCTCGTCTGCCCATAAAAGTTGTCTTCAGAAGACATTTGCGTTATGGTTAACTGAATACCCAGAAACAAGGACTGAGGAGTGAACAAAACTTCAAGACAGAGAATAAATTTAAAGTGGTTTTATTTACATTGGATAATAAAGCACATTAGGAACCCTGAGGAGTATGGAGATGAGTTAGAAGATATGTTGTTAGATTTCAGATCTATGTTGTAGGTTGTGTTGTAGGGCGTGTGGTTGGAAGGTGAGGAAGGTAGCTGAAGAAACAAAAAAGATTTCCAGGGATTCTTCAAAGAAGTCCAGGTGGTATTTCACAAGGAGAGATACTGTAAATAGCAAAATGAACACAGGTAAGTCTTTCTCAAGGATCATGGAATACAAAAGGACTAGAAGCACGACTACTAGAGGCAAGTAATGCTCCAGCAGCGAGGAGAAGTCATCTACTGCTTTTTATACTCCTGGCGCCTCGTTAAGGAGGTTATCTTCAGGTGTGGGAATGTTGGCGCCATCTAGTGTCCTCAGAGCAGCAGGAAAAACAGGAACTCCCACAATTTGGTTTGCCCATATGGACAGCTGTAAATTTCAGTCGAACTTGAAGTTGCAGGAAGCTCCTTCAGTCTGCAGTGATGTAAAACTCATTGTAAACCTCTGACTGAGGTTGTATAAACTTATACAATAACTACAATTAAATCTAAAGAAATAAACTATTAGGATGGTAATGAAGTTTGCAAAATATGTTTTTTTTTATGAGAAGATTGAATGTACCAGTAGTTCGTCATTCCAAAATGTCAAAAAAGCCCGACTGGTCTCATAGTTAATGCAGACAGGAGATTTGGGGATAACTTCAACTAGGATTGAGCTTCATCAAATAGAAGTTTTATATCAAGATGAACTAAGATACTTTCTTTTTCCCCGCTGTCTTCCTCTCAGGTTGGAACCACTACCATCCAGCTAACGGAGAAACGAATCACGTTTGAATCTGTGCCTCTCAACATAACTTCCACCAGGACAGCTGTTTTACGTAACAGTGGACAGAATCATGCCTATTATCAGGTCTTCACTCAAAAGACACACAAACACTCATTTTTAATAGAAAGAGAGAGAATATCAAGTAAATCCAGAAGTACAATACTTAAAAGTGAGACACTGTAAATTATCAAGTGAAATAACCCTTGGACACCTATGAGCCAGACAGTACTTTGGCTTCCTCAGACGTAGACGTGTAGCACATAGATTACAGTATAATCAGTGAGTAATTAATCTGAGACACTTTTGATCTCAAAGCCCATCTGTCCACAACTTGGTAAAGATAAGACCGAGAAGCTGACTTTGGATTGGAAAGTCGCAGGCTCAGTTCCCCACCATTCCCCAATTGGTGTTTTTGAGCAAGACATCTAATCTCCAACTACTCTCCGGATGCTTGAATAGCTTTAATTCCCACACTTCTTGGGTTTATCTCGTTTTACTGTAGGGGAACACACGATGATGACAATACATAGCACTTTCACTAGTTGGCAACTCCAAACTGTGAGGAAATGGTAATAAAATAGGCACGTTTTCCGCTTCTGACTGGGCTGTGTTTCGAGTGTCTAGTTTCTGAAAATCATAATTTTCTCAACTTAAAGACATGCATTTTTAGCCATGCACGATATTCTATCCACTTCCAATCACATCATACGCACCTTGGCTTTTTTATACCCATCTTGGCAGCTCCCCTTAAGCATATGGTTCACTCTGGAGGAGTACACTTTAGAAATGAAAGTAAGCAGATTTACAATAATTATTATTCATCATAAGTTTGGCGTTAAGACCTGGATATTTTCCTTGGATGTTTTCTGTCAGAGGATATCTCCTACAAGATGTGAAAATACAACTGTAGTGCCATCGAAATGCCCACAATGGCTTTTTTGAGAGAAATGTTGTTGAACAATTTTTTAGAACCTGTCCAAAACTCAAGCAACAGGACTTTACATCTCTGTGGCTGAAGCATGGAAATGGAGAAGATCGCAACACAGTTTTGAGACTTATCTTATGAGTGTTGTTTGTCAACTAGTCGCAGCCCATTGAGGAACTTGCCTTCCTGTCTGAAGGCAGATGGACCACAGTCAGTGGACACATGTCCAAACCCGTCTTAACACTGTTTGTCAGTGAACATTGAAGTAATTTAGAGAAGTTACTGTAGACCAAAGAGACCAAAATGGAGCTCTTTGACATCAACCTAACCTGCTGTGTTTGGCAGAAAAAAAACGCTAAGTACGACCTGAGGATTGTCATCACAACAGCCAAGCACAGAGGTGGAAACATTATGCTCTGGGGTTATTTTTCTGCTGAGGTTTCAAGATGACTTCGTTGCATTGAGGGGCCAGTAAGCTGGGCAAAGAGAAGTGGTTAAAAAAAAGAAGCGCATTAACGTCATGGAGTGGCTCAGCTTATTCCCCGTCTTCAATCCTTTATCCTGTGGATTGAGTTGCCGAGCAGCAGCCAAGAAAGATGAAAAGTTTTGGGTTCCTGTAAAAAGAAGTGGGTCAAAGTCCCTTATGACTAGGTGACCATGAAACATCTTGCAGATGTGCTGCCAACAAAATGTTTCTCCACCTCGTACTAAGTCATGTTCTACTTGAATTAAATTCTTGTTTTGTTAATATTCTAACTCCATTAGAATTAAACTACCATAGATGTTAGAGGTGTTCTTATTTTTTTCAATTAAAAAAATTCAGTTGAAAACCAAATATTTACTTCTCCCATTGCGATACCAAGGTCTGAATGTAGCTTACAGTTAAACAGAAAATGGGAAAATACCCTTCACAGATATACAAGCTCAGATTCAGTCTAGTGAGGCCATTGTTTACACTGCTCTTCTTCACATGGGGCGAGAGGGGTTCAGCTATGTTGTTGATACTCACCGTTAATGTCTGATTAACAGTAAACTCTCTGTTTGAGGCAGGTTCTAGAAGTGTCCCCTGTGCCAGGCATGGTGCTGAGTCCATGTGAAGGCGTGGTACCATGCAAGGGGATGGCACCCATTAACATCCACTTCAGCCCAGACCGTGTCCTCCGATTTGATGCCAAGATCAAGGTGAAAGAGAGACAAAAGAGTAGACTTTAAAGTTTTGTTTCCATGAAGGTGTTTCTTTTTTTATTTGATTGTGTGAATGTTTATGAAGCATTCACACTATTGTGATCCAGTTTTCTTCTGTACGTTTTCTGGAATCTTTCTCGTTCCGCAATTTTTGTGCTATTTCAACAAATCATAGATCAAAACGTTCAGCTCCTTGAGGAGAAGGGTGCTATGATTTTTGGTCTTGGTGCAACTTTAGCTTTTTGAAATATTTAGCCTTTTCTAACATTTTTTTCTCATAGAAAAAGAATTGAGCTCATTTTACATCCTTCACGTATTTAGATCTGTTCACAACCTTTTACTGCTCCTTTAACATTTTGTTCTGGTTCAGCTTCTTTCAGCTTCCTTGTGCAAATTTAAACCTTTTTTCAGCTAATTTCAGCTTTTTTTTCAGCCGTTTTGAGCTCCTTTCTAATTCTTTCTGCTAACTACAACATTTTTGTGCTTCTTCTTACTTCTTTCTGCTAATTTCAACTTGTTACGCTCCTTTCAGCTTATTTCTACAAGTTTCAGTTTTTTTCTGCAATTTCAGCTACCATTGAGCTGTTTTATGCTAAGTTTAGCTTTTTCAGCTAATTCCACATTTTTGAGCTCATTTGAGCTCTTTTTGCTTCCTTCTGGTAATTTAACCTTTCTACCGTTTCAGCTATTTTTCAGCTATTTTCTGCCAATTTCAGCCTTTTTAGCTAATTTCCGAAATTTTGTGCTCATTTCTGCTTATTTAAAGCTAATTCTGCAAACATGTTCTTTCTGCTTTCTTCCACTAATGGTTTGTTCCTACATTTCAGTTACATTTTAGCATGTTTTTCTAAGCAATTTTAGCTGTTTTTCAGCAAGTTCTTCTGCAATAAGCATTCACACTGTATTTTCGCAGGAAATGCGATTTCTCTAGTTTTTATGTTTGAGTTTTTGTGTTATCAATGTATAACACTTTGGTCAGTGATGTTGTTTTTAAAGTGCTTTATAAATAAAGTTATATTGTTGTGTAAATGAAAAATTCTGTGTGTTACAGATTGCTCTGAGGAACATGAAATCCATCGAGCTCAGAGTGGCTGGATCTGTGGAGCCTCCTAATGTAGACATCAGTGTGGTGAGGGTCTGTGTTCGGAGTTACTCAAGAAGTGACCTAAGGCGACGATTAGCATGTGAAGACAAATACTTTAATAAGAAGAGACTAGCAGGAAACCAATAATTAACTCAAATTGTTAATAGAGTTAGATATAAAACCTCAAATAATTTACAGGTGCCATTATTTAATCTTCAACAAACGAAAGACAAATCTGCACGTTTAAACCCTACAAATTTTATTGGTGTTTTACGTTCAAAAGTGCACACTACCTAAGCCTAATAAAATCCACTTTTTTTCTTATTTATGGATCCTGGAAAATGTAAATAGCAAAGTTAAAGTAGGGTTTGCTTCACATGTTGGGGAGCACATCTTTTTTGGTGGTGCAAAAAGGGAAGTTCTGAGGAACAAAGGTTAGGATCTGGACTACAAGACCATCAGCAAGAAGTTTGGTGTGAATAGATGGAAATGGTAGAAAATGACCACAAGTCGCCCTCAGTCTGGAGCTCCATGCAAGATCTTGCCTCCTGATTGGAGGATGATAACGAGAAATCAGAATCAGAGTAAACTTTATTGTCATTGCACAGTTAAATACAGCAAAAATACGTTCCGTACAGCCGTCCTAAAGATGGATGGAAGAGCACAGGGGCTGTAGCTTCTGAGAAGCGCTGCCCTTGTTGCTTAGCTAGAAAAGGGGAAGACAACGTAAGGAGAGAGAGGTATAAAAAAATTATCTCTCACACCGTGTCCTTGACAGGGCACAGTTTAAAGTATCAAAAAACTACCACAGCAAGCAACGTGGCTAGACACAACACATATGCGTGGACGACAAGACGGTGAGATGCGTCCATGAGCACTTCCAGATAGTTTCCATAGTCCTGATAAGATGTTAGTGTCTCTCAGCCTGTACAGCTCTGATAAGCAGTCACAGAAGTTCTCGAGAGATGGGTGGGGTGGACAGAGCAGAGCTTCTTCATTTACATATCCACCAGGAGCAATTTGAGTTAAGTTGGCCTTCAAGGCAGAGCGGGGAGGCCAGATTCAGTTAAACAACAATTGTTTGGGCAGGCAGACTCTGGTTCCTGTCTACCTTCAGTTCTGCTGGAACTCTCAATGGCGAATCCAAGAGGTTGGCAGCTTTACTATGGTCGAAACTGCTGCCGACGTCTTCCTACTTTGTCGATATCCTAGGTATCCGCCAATTCCAAAAAGTAGAAACCCTGTTATCATAAATCCAATTCGTACACGTTTTATCCATGACATATCCAGCTGCGTGCGTTCGTCCGGGCATGAGGGCTCTCCAGTACCCTGTCTCTTGAAATTTTTTTTATTAATTGCATTGAGAGACCAGCTGATGAGATCTATAATAATTAATTTACGATTCGGAAGATGCGTAAAGAAAGGCTCTGATATACAGAATAAAAAGCAAAAGCAGGAGGAAGGCGGGAGAGGGAAGAAAAGCATCCGACTTGTTCGAGGGCAAGTGAGAAACAAAGGTAAGAGAAAGGTGAGAGATGAGCCCACAAACATATGGGAGGAGCTTGTTAAAGATCTAAAGGCAGTTGGGACAACAGTCACCAAGACCATCATTAGTTAGATGAAACGCTTTAATGAACGGTCCCCCTACTAAAGAAAGCCCAGGTTCAAGGTCGTATACATCATTTGCTTATGAACATCTGATTGGTTCGGGGAAGGCTCAGAAGAAAACGTAAAGGTCAAAATCCAGCTCTGACGTCAAACTGGGGGAAGAAAAATGCTTAGTATGACCCAAAAACTCCTTCTCTGTAGTCAAGCATGGAATTGAAGCATGGTTTGTGGCTGTTCTGCCTAAAGGAAAGGAGAGCTTCAAGACATTCTTCTTCATTCGGCTGTTCCTTCTTTAGTGATTGCCACAGCGAGACATTCTTCTCCACCTCACTCCAACATGTCCTTTCTAACTGCATCCATACATCTCCTCTTTGCCTTTTTCCTGGCAGCTGCATTTCTAACATTGTTCTCCCAATATACCCACTGTCCCTCCTTTGGACATGTCCAAACCATCTCAGTCTGGTCTCTCTAACTTTATCTCCCAGTTGTTCAACCTGTGCTGTACCTCTGATGATCGCATTGCTAATCTTATCCATCCTTGTCATGCCTAAGGAGAACATCAACATCTTAATTTCTGTTACTTTGTTATTTCTCCTGTCTTTTTGTTAATGCCACGGTGTCCAGACCATCCATCCATCCATTATCTTTAACCGCTTATTCCATTTTGGGTCACGGGGGTCGCCGGTGCCCATGTCCAGCAATCACTGTGCGAGGGGCGGGGTACACCCTGGACAGGTCGCAAGTCAATCACAGGGCCACATAGAGACAAACGAGACAAACAACCATTCACTCTCTCACTCAAACCTAGTGACAATTTAGAGTTACCAATCAGCCTAACATGCATGTTTTTGGTCTGTGGGAGGAAACCAGAGTACCCGGAGAAAACCCACGCATGCACGGAGAGAACATGCAAACTCTACCCAGAAAGGCCCCTGGACCGGGGTTTGAACCAAGGACCTGCTCGCTGAGAGGCAGCAGCTCTACCAGTTGCGCCACCATGCTGCCTGTGTCCAGACCATAAATGGTAAATGGAATGTACTTATGTAGCACCTTTCTATCCTATCAAGATACTCAAAGCGCTTATACCATACAACATAGCTGTTCTCACCACTGTCTTGGAAACCTTTTCTTTTGACCTTTTCTTTTCCACATTCCCCATTCTCCTGGACAGTGGACCCCAAGTACTCAGAAGTCCTGCACCTTTGTCTTACTACGTCTGACTTTCATTCCTCTTCTTTCAAGTACGTACTTGCACCTCTGCAGGTTCTCTTCCACAGCTACATCAAAGAGCCAAAACATGGATCTATCTACCTTCAATCCTCAGCCAGAAAGCTGAAGATAGGTCATGAAAGCATGGCAATGGCCCAAAACCTATCATCAAGGCAACAAAGGAGTGACTAAAGAAGAAACATTAGGATCATAGAGGCCTTGCCGTGTCCAGTCTTCAGTTCTTTGGAAAATCTGTAGGGACCTAAAGACTCATGATACCATATGATGCTTAAGAAAGATAAAGGATTTAAAGTTTCTGGAGAATCATTATTTCTCCAACTGTAACAGATCCATTGGTGTTGGATAGAAGAACAACATACTGTAAATGTTCAGGGGTTGTAAGGATTTTCTTGGTTAGTAATTGCCTCAGTATTCATAAACACCAACTCCTTGTCTTGTTTCCCACAGCCGGTGCTGCGATTCACCGTAAAGAGCCACTTTTCATCTGCCTCATTTTAGAGCATCAGCATTCATGAGGTGTTTTGAGTTTAATATTTATGGGCATTTTGAGGGCGTTGGAGGTGGTTGATCTGCATACAGATATTCTCAGGTGGAGATCAGAAAGAAAGGAGGATTTTCTTTTTTTTTTTCTTTTTTTTTTTTGGACATGCCAATTGAAGGATTTTCAGCTTTTTATGACTTAGTTATTGAAATATTTAGCACACGTTCTCTTAATGATTGCATGGACTTTGATTTACTGAAAATAAAGTGGTTGTTTGTCTAAATCTACTTGCACTATTTCTCTTTTCAGTCTCTTTTTCAGTTCAATGGAGTCCATACCGGTTCTCATCAAAGTATTCCATTCACTCTAACAAATCGCTCGTCGGCTGCGGCCCGAGTCACTTTCGATCTGTCAGAGTACGAAGACTTCTCCTTGCAGTTTTCTCAGCCCTGCACAAGTATGTAAAACACCGTAGCGTCTAGTTTGTTAAAGCGCACTATAAATACAGATTGAATGAAAAGAGGTTCTGCAAATACAGCATAAAACTGAGAACTTAAGATGAGAAAGAACATGTGAAACTTAGCTGTACGTTGTGAATACAACCTGGTTTGTTAGGAGTTTTCTGTGCTTTTTTTCAGAAGCGAAAAGAGAACCAGGTCTGAGTGTTGTAGAGCTCCACGGTGGTCAGACAGAAGAATGCTTCCTTGTCTTTTCCCCGACACAGGCAAGAGTTGGTCAAAAATTTCCATTCATGTGTAGATTCTGTGTGCAAATCTGAAAGCCTTACCTAAATGGATGTTCCAGCCATTTTTACTTTGGGTTCTGTGTAAAAGTGAAGAGGAAGTATCTTAATAGATGGAGAGAGCTTTTTTAATGGTTGCAAATTCATCACCGGAAGATAGAAAAACACAGAAGTCTGTCCAGCCTGGATGAAAACGTTGAATTTCCTCTTCAACCTTTTTATACGCTCGTCGAAAATGGACATATGGAATATTCTCCGTCTGTCCAAAAACTTTATCTTGTCCCGCCTAAATCTTCTGATTGCTTAAGATAATTTAACAAAATTTTATACTAGGCCTGTCACAATAACAAATTTAGCTGAGTGATTAATTCTCAGAAATTATTACGGTAAACAATAATAATGTTTGAAATTTAACAAAAATGTCAAATTTTAGAAGAAATGTTGATTTGTTTGGAGTGTAGTACCATTTTTGACCACCTGATGGCAGTATAAGACAGTTTGAACCAAAGGATGGATCGTTGAGCAGCGTCTAAGAAAAATGGGAAGGAGGGCCCTTGACGTGACATGGGCTGACATGGCGGACACTCTGTAATTTTACCTCTTTTTCATAGCATTTTTCACACAAAGCTTTAAATAAAAAAATCAGTAAACAAGTTCTCAGCTTCTTTTTGCAGAGAAAAACTACTTTTTTACACGAAGGCACGGGTTTCAACCGTGAATTTTTGAGCTCGACGAGACGGAGGTTTTTTTTCCCCCGAGGTTGGCCTGTTAGCTTAGCTTGTAGCTTAGCTGTTTTTAACTATGCAAAAACAGGATTTTGGACAGTTAAAACAGATTTTAAAGAGAAAGGGAGGGGTCAGTGAAGAGCACCGGAGTTGAGCCGTGTCCAGTAGAGAGAGAGAGACATGAAGAAACGATAAAGCCGGTAAATGAAAAGGAGCTCGATAATTTTCATTTATTATGCGATTAATTGATTTATTGTTTATCGCGACAGGCCTGTTTCATACAAATTTCTACCGCCACTACTCAGCTTGTCCCATATTTTTTTTCATTACTGCATCTTCAAAGTCAACATCACATATCAAGGTTATGCAAGGTCTTTGCTTGTCGAACATCATAGTACTGTTAGCAGTGTAGTTCTGTTAGCAGCCTGGCATTATTAGTAGCATGGTAGCTATTGTTAGCAGCATGGCACTATTAGCAG